AGACGGACGGATGGATGGATGGACAGACGGACGGATGGACGGACGGACGGACGGATGGATGGACGGACGGACGGACGGATGGATGGACGGACGAATGGATGGATGGATGGATGAAAATTCCCACTCTTATTGAAACGACATGTGAAGTCTCCATTCTGGGAGGGGGAGAAGTATGCTTTCGTATATATATATATATATATATAATCATATATAATTATTTAAAACTTATTGAAAAGATCATATGTTGGTATTTCAGTTCTAAAATTTATAATAGTTGCAAAGTGTGCATGGGCTTTAATTGTCGTGGTCATGTACCAAATTTCATTTTGGTTTAGAATGAAACAAGTATTAACAACCATTTGGCGTTTTTGTGTTTTTTGAATCTTGGTGTTGTAGTTTGAGTGGTATTGATTGTCAATTTTGTGATGTAAAAAACTGAGTAGAAACAACTAAAAACCCCTCATAGTTTATTTTGACATGAATGAATGAACATGAAGAAGTGTGTACATGTGTATGGAGAAATATTTAGAGTATTCACTCTACACCAACTATTGAGGAATTTCATGCAACACAATCTTACATTTTCCAAAACATAAGAGCTGAAATGAAGATTCTATATAATATAATGAGATAGGTTAGTGAAAAGACAAAGACATAATAAAGCTTCCTCATTGGCCAAAATCAAAGAAATTGTGAACCAACAAACAATTATATGTAACATACAAAAAAACCACTAATTTACTACTTGTATCTAGAAAAAGATCATCTTATAGCTTTTTTGGGCCTAACACCATGGATTTTTGCAAGTGTATTATTTATATATATATATATATATATATATATATATATAGTAATAATAATAGAATTGTTAATGGCACATCCTCAACTAATATTGCTACAGCCCAAGTGACCCAAAACTTAAATTGACTAAAAAACACACTTCTACGCTTAGAGCACATTTGATAGTCTAATATTTAATCTCAATATTGACCCAAAAGAGAATAAGATAAAACAAAAATTTGAAATTACCGAATTAAATAATTCTGAATTTCGAATACTAAATTTTGAATTAAATCATTTTGAAACACATTTTTTCATAAAATGTTTATTGTCACTTTCAACCACCATCCTTTCTTAAAGCAATAAAGTGAAAAAATGTGCTCAAGAAAGATGCATAATATTAGCTAGTTGTCAATGAGGAAGTCACATGGGGTGTAGCAATATCAAATGGAGATATCAATTGGGGATGTAGAGTTAACAATTATGTAAAACAACAATGTTTGTATATCAAACTAAACTTTTGCATATAATAGTGTGTATATATATATCTATATATATATATATATATGCATTCCAAGCCTTTAAAGATTATAACAATAGAATAATAACAGATAAAAACAATCAGATTCAATATCTTTTTATAGAAAAGGGAGACCGAACAAAGAGATTGTTCCTTTTTGTCTTTATTTTCTTTATGACATAGTGACACTTTTGGGGGGTTTATTAAGAGGCCTCGATCTCTGAATATTCAATTGGGAAGCTTTTTGAGTGGAGGCCTATGAAGGCGCAATATTATAATTATAAAAAAATAATGTTATTCTCTTGAATGAATGTTTCCCTTTATCATTTATCAAACTAGCCTGCTACTTTTACTAGAAGCATCACAAAAATGTTTGTCAGATCTGCTTTCTGTTATGTGTCATAGGGAATACGATGAGAACGTTTTATTCTCTTTGGGAACGTTGGAACTTAGTTGGGTGGCAAGAGATTGAATCCACAAAAGACTCACATTTGGCATAAGATTGATCTTGTGTTAAAATCTGATTTAAAATTTTTTAAAAATAATAATTCTAATTTGGTATGATCATATATGTATACACAAATTGTAAGTGCATATGACTTGTATGTAGTTGTGTGTGTGTGTGTGTGTGTGTGTTGCACAATAGTTTTGAATGATTTAAAAGAAGATTGAAATCTTGATTGAGTCACAAAGCAATCAAAATTTTTAAATGATTTAAATCAATCAAAATTTTTGAATGATTTTTTAAATCAATCAAAATTTTCAAAGCAATCAAAATTTCTCAAAGCAATCAAAATTTTTATGTGACCAAGGGCAACACCGTTTTAGAAAAGATCAGTACATTACAATGACTTTGATATATATATTTTTACAACAGAATTGTATATTTGGAAACAGATAGTTGAAAGATATTTTTCTGAATTATAATGATGATTTTAAAATGCACTTTTTCGTTTTAATATTAGACTTTCTGATTTTAATAGATATATGTATTTTTCATGCAAAAAGTTGTTAGAATAGAAACTATATTTTCAAAAAATCTTAAGTTCTACTGAGCTTGTTCTTTTAAATTTAGAGTGCAGACATTTATTATAACTTTATATTCCAATTACATTTTGCTTTGAGTTATTTATTAATTTTAAAACATTTTATTGTAACTTTAATCTGAATTTAGGATCAAAGACTACAGATGGATTGGAAAACAAAACTTAAAGTCTTCAAAATCACTAAATTATCTTGTGTTGACTATATTCAGTTACATTTGCCAGCCAAACATAACATGTAAATTTCAGTGTAAAAGTGTCATTCATAGTGCATTTCCAACATTTTTACTCAAGTTGTTGTTACTGTCGCTGTAATTTTGTTCAGGTCATCTTAAAAATTTTGAAGCATTATTTAAAAATAGAATATGGCATGTTTTTTTATATCATATTGAAAGATATTTTTGACATTTTTGTTGTATATATATATATGTATATATATATTGCATACATATACATACAAACATAATGAAAGTATTGGATTAAATCTTATTTTGTTTTATTTTATTTTCTTAAATTTTTATTTCTTTAACTATATTGGCTTACATTGATATCAAAAAATTTAATAATAAACAATCAATTTCACTAACATTCAAAGAAACAATAGTAAACCATTGTGAACACTTTACCTTGTTGATACATTAAGGAACATGTATAAAATTTTCAATGTTAATTTTATAATTCAATATCTTATTGTGAATATTTGAGTAAAACAATAAAGTCTCAACAATTGCAATACCTTTTTCTAATTTTATAAACACCACATAAACAAGATATAGAAGGCCATAAATCATGACCCAAATGAGTGAAGAGGGAGTTAAGTTATTAAAGAAGAGAGACTTGGGGTTTGCGAACTCCAACTCCAATGCTTAATTAGGGTTTAGGGTTCGTAGGGAGCTCCGAAACCGCGCCGCAAGTGGTGCTTTCTCTCTCCCAAAGCTCCCACTCGACGTAGCCTTCCAGCTCATTGCTCCGGGACAACACCGATCGATCATTCCATGGTTTCGTGACAAAGTTTGCTACAATTGGGTGCCGAAGTAACAGAAAAACCAAGAGTTTCCCATGTGGGTTTTCTGGTTCTCCCTTTGACCATCGATACAAATCCCACGTGGAGATCGCAACCAACAACGATTGCGGGACAAGATTCTGCTACAATGTCTAAGGATGCTCAAACCCACCACGCCTTGGCTGCGTGGTTAGAATAGGATTGAGTTTCTTCAGCTTATTCCTGTGGCCCCACAATTGTGAACCCGACGCAGAATCCAACAGACAAACATGAAGCCAGGCAAAAGTGAATCCGAGGGTGACGCCATTTTTCCCGTTGCTAGTTGGAACAGCGAACAAAGAACACCGTGAATGCTGTGGAAGAATGTTTTCTGTTTCCACTTTCCCCATTTGCTGGGCTTCTCCGCGAGCGGCTGGCTACAGCCCTAATACTGAGTTGGAGCCGCAGAACGAAGTCCCATTAATGTGGCATTCAACTGGAATTCGGACAGGAACGATCGTTCAGAGGACGAGGCGAAACGTAGAGAGGAAGGGAGGGGGGAAGGGAAGTGAAGTGATGTCGACAGGTTGGAGGCCATGCAGGGACGTAGAGTTTCGGCGAACGAATCATATCGGAGCCGAAACATCCTCGAGAAATGAAACCGTACGTTAATGCTTCGGTCCTCGGTGGAATGGGCTAGTAAAGCGCAGCCTTAACTAGCACCATAACTAGCACCCCTTAGCATTAAATCGCCCAACTCCGGCAGATTAACAACAGCGCCGGAGGAACGGCAACAACAAAAACAACACTTTCAGCTAACTCACGTTCAACCTCCGAAGGGGCAGCGGGCAGGCATGAGAAAAAGTATGATCAGCCGTAAAGGGCCGTGCCACGTAGGTCCCAGCTGCCTGGCACCGCCGCCACTCTGCCGCCTACTCACCCCCCCGGGTGTGACACCATTATAGACACCATTATAGTTCCTCGCCTCCTGGGCAGCCGCGAAATTTACTCCTCCGGGCAGCATGTCGGCGGCAGTCTCACCTCCGCCCCCCCTGCTTTTCTCTTTCTCTCACCTCGCCCCACCCGGCCCGGCCCGGCCGGGCACCCCTAACGTAAGCGAAGACCTCGCAAGGAGGAAGAGGGGGAGGGGGGGGGGGTCTTCGCTTCTGTCTGTCTGTGTCTTGGTCTCCGTCTGCTTCGGCTCATGCTTTGTCTTCGCTTTGCTCCTGCTGCTCTCTCTCACTTTCTCTCGCGCTCCCATCAAGCTTTCCGCCCCCCCCATCCCCCTTCTCTCGTTGCGCTTTTTCTCCTCTCGCATGCTGTCTCTTCCTTCACTCTCCCCCGCTCCTACAAACTCCTCGCTCTCGTCTCTGATTCACTCATTCATACCCTTGCTTGCGAGGTTTTTTTCTTTTTTTTTGGGGGGGGGGAGGGGATTATCGGTCGCGATCGCACGGTGTCGGGGATAGCAGGGAACGTGTATGGGGGAGTTGTAGAGGAGGATTTTGTTTGAAGGGAATTGGTGGGTTGAAGGTCGTGTTACGTCGGGAGGGTTGATCAGGGAGAGTAAGGGGTGGGTGGGTTCGTTGTAGAAGGGTTGTGTTGGAGATTCTTGTCTCAGGAAAGGGTGGGGTGGGGTGGGTCAGGCTTGGGCTGAAGTTCTTTATTTGGTGTAATTCGCGGTGATTTGTGGGGGGTGGTGATTGTTGGGGGATGAGGTGAGGAGCGTGGAGGGGGAGGGGGGTTTGATGACTTAGGGTGTGGTCTTGTGGCGGATGAAGTAGGTGAGGAGGGAACGGAGTGGAAGCGAGCGATCGATTTCAGGTGATGCCGCTGTGTATCTTTTTGGCCTTGTTTTCTCCCCTTTTTTCCATGTTTCTGGGAGTGTCTGTTTTGTCGGAGGCGTAGCGCGGGTACTGATGTCCTGCAGCGGTGCCCTGGTTGATCAGTTGTGCGTGGGTGTGTTTGCATTGCTCGCGGCCACGCCTTCGCTGCTCTGTCAGATGCATGCGTGTGAGGAGAAATCCGGGCGCTTCACTCCTTTGGTCTGGAGCTTCGGAGGTCTCTGTCAGGGTTCATTGCTGTCGCGAGTAGTACCTTGCATTGTTTCTATGCGTTGGTTTTGGTAATTCGCGCCTGCGGTAATATCATTGGCCGAATTCGGTTGAACCTATAGGCTTGGCTCTAGCTGAGTGAGTCGCATTGTGGCCTCCCAGGTTTCTTGCTGCACGCTGCGGGGGCAGTGGTTCAGAATCCAAAACTGGGCGTCGAGTGGATTGAGGGACCCGAGCTGGAGGGTTTTGTGAACGGGATTTTCGTGAAGCAGTCGGGTCATGGTTGTGTATCGAAGGTAGTCTACTGTAAAGTTCGCCGTTGGGAGTGTGTTGCACGGACAAAGCGCCGGATTCTCGCTGTAGGGTTAATATTCATGGACCCGACACCCTTCTCACGTGCGTTGTAGTTTTGTCGTGGCAACCAGCATTGTACGCCAGTCCGCCTGGAACTGTAGTTTGCAGAAACAGACGAGGAATGAGATTGCACTGTGACGTTGGGTGCGTTGCAGATTGGATTATTTTGATTGCTGTACTCCGGCGTCATAGACCTCGTCAACCAGGACTGAGAAGGCTGGCGTCAGTGTTCTGCTCACCAAATTGGATTAAAGTAGTCGTGAAGCCAAAGTTGATCGTAGAGGTGAATAGTTTTGTGAACAGAAGGTGTGCGCTGGGTGAACCCCTCCGTTTGTGTACGCCTGTCGTGATTTCGAGTTTCTCCAATTGAGAAGATGACGACGTTTCGTTAAGAGTCCTTAGAGGGTTTCCTGAAAGAATAGGGGTTCTCGTTAGGTCGGCGCGGTTCAGGCGTAGCATGGGCGGAGAAGTCAATGCAGATGTAGCAGTCCAGTTTTGCAGTGTGGCATTGACGAGTATTGGCGAGCGCGCTTATGTTGAGAGGACAATAAAGGGGCGCCTTCATTCTTGCAGCAGCCAAGCCTCACCGTTGACGCTTACAGCCCTTTGTATTAGTGCCTCGGAAGGAATGGGTGGTGGAAGAACTGAAAGTGGCGGCACTTCCACTGTCACCAACGACACAAGCACCCCTTACGATGATGTAGAGATTACACTTGACGCTTTTCAGAGGATGAGCTTTGAGTCTGGGGAAGTCACAGATTCAGCTCCAGAGGGCATTGCAACAGGTGAAACTGGGTTACAGGCAGTTAAGAAAGGCGCATTGTCCAGCCCTCCTGAGCTATCACGACAAGCTGACACTAACATTGATGTGGATTATGTGACTAAGCAGCAGCAGCATCAACATGGACACGGTCACGGGCATTGTGGCCAATATAGGGGGGCTCCCAGAGGATTCGACCTGCTGCAGCAGAAGACGCATGAATATCGGCCTCCACCTGCATTGCAACTCCCAGACCAGAGAATGATGGACAGTGAGGTCGCCGCCTTGCATGACGAGGATCATCGCAAGGGAGATTACGCTCAGGCTACGAATTTCGGTCTCCCAGCCTCCCTTGTCGTGTCTCCAGGGTCATGCCATGTATCTTGTCATGATGCCAAGGCATCGCTTGATCCCAACGCCCGGGAGTACACTCCCAACGGCCCGTCTCCTTGTATTTCTCCAGGTGTGCCGCCATCTGTAGTGCAGCATCACGTTGGTGTACCCTCTTGGTATTCTTTTGAGTCAGGCCACATCTACGTTTCTGGGATGGACAATAGTCGAATGGTTTACAGCCCCAGTTATGGATCAGAGACCACAATGTCGCTATACGGAAGTGGTGCACAAATTGCGTATGCTCCCGTCACAGCCCCACCATCGGCTCCCTGGGGTGGATTAGAACTTCCTGACCTGAGCCAACAGGCAACTCAGAGCGCTGCGACTGGCCAACTTTCAGGAACTCCTGTAGGTTTGACCGGGGTCCAGTCGTCTCATGCCTTGCGGTCGTTTGGTATTCCTCCTTTTCAAGCCGTAGGTCTTCCTTCAGTTGGTATTTCCGGCAACAGTGTATTATCTACTCCCCCAATTTCAGGTAGAGAGCATGTGTCACGGGCCATCTTGCTAAACGGTGTACCGGCTTATGTTAGTGATGACCAGTTGAAGGCTGAGATGGGGAAATGGGGCGATGTTAGGACTATAGTTTCGGACCGCAAACTTACTGAGGGATTGGTTACTGTTAACTTCTACGACCTTCGCTGCGCCAAGGAGGCTCTGCGGGATATACAGCAACAGCATCTGAATAAACAGCACCGGATGCAGCAGCAGTATCAGTTCTCTCAAAAGCTGCGAGAGGGCAGTAGTAACAGCTCGCGAGATCACGTGGAAATGGCATATGAGAGGCAGGACGGGGGCAAGCGCCCAGATTTGCTCCCTGACAGCATTAGTTCCTCGTCCACACCAACTAATTCAGGGAAAGGCCTTGTTTGTGGAGTAGTGATGTGGGCTCAATATACGCTACCTATTGGAGCTGCTGCAGGTCCTGATAGCCTGAACCAGGGCACGCTTGTCGTTTTCAACCTGGATGTCGACACAACCATGGAGTGCTTGAAGTCTATCTTTGAAGTTCACGGTATACTCTTGTTCCTGTCAAAACCTCATTTACTTTTTCTTTCATGAACCCTGCCAATGCTTTACTTGGTTTTCTCGTGGTCTTGGTAGGAGGTATTCATGCTTGCTTGGTTACATGGTTGGGACAGTTGGTAAACCCGCCCTCATCAATTTCGGAGCAGTAATAAACTAGTCTGTCAATAGTTTTTTCGAGGTTTCGTCAGTCCTTGTAGCAAACACTTGATGTTGATATTAAAGAGGTTTGATGTAATTAGTGGCATTAGCGTTGAACATGCATTTGATTTTTGAGCAGAATGTTTTCGGATACTGTGTTACAATATTTTGCGTATCCCGATAAGAAACTTTGTAATTGTGTCGCTGGTTACGATGTTCTGCCATGGAGGCGATTGTGTCGGATGCTGTGAAGTTCGCTTTGATTTGTACTGTACGCCTGGATTAACCTTATTGACCAAACGCACCTTTGACCCATCGAAGTCAAGGTATCGTAGGGTAACTGACGAGGTAGTTCAGGAGTTTGAGATTGTATGTAATTTGTGCGCTAATTCCTGGTCTCTGTTGTGGTGAATCAGGTGATGTCAAAGAACTAAGGGAAACGCCTGCTAAGAAACAACACAAGTTTGTGGAATTTTTCGATGTCCGAGATGCTGCTAAGGCACTAAAAGCCCTGGATGGTACTGAAATTAATGGAAAGCGTGTAAAAATAGAGTTCAGTCGACCAGGTGGACAAGCTCACAAGGCTCGTGTACAGCTGCAGCAGCGAGCGCAGGGAGGTCCATTGTACAATTCCTTAACCAGCAGTCTGCCCTCTCTAGCAGGGGCAGGTCCAGGTTCAGTAGCGGGTCAACCTTTCTACGCAATGGGGACGTGGAGTGGAGATGCTGCATGCGGATCTGTAACAATGCCGGGTCCCCATGGTGGTCCTTCTGCATGCCTGTGGACAAGTAACATTGGAACTCCTGTCTCTCCTTTAGGATTGATGCAGGCGCCTTGGAGTAGTGGCTCCAGTCAGCTGCAATCTTACAATTACGCATCTATGCAAGAAGGCTTGGCAAGCCCTGCCGGGCCACTTGTCGTAATGGGAAATGTGGATGCTTTGCATTACGGCCGAGCTGGTGGTAGAGCCTTGATGATGTCCTTTTCAGGAGCACAAGGGTCACCGGGGGAAAATCACCCTTCTCGAGCGCAGGGATCCTCTGGAAGGAGAAATAGCAGCGCTAGTGGGCAAGGTAGAGTGGATGGAGTATCAAGTCGCAGGTCAAAGCGCAATACATCTGTGAATGGAAATGTTTGTTTCGGTAAGCTGGATTCCGCCAACGAGTTAGTCTCCGGGGACAAGAGTGGAGAAGGTCCTCGTGTGGGCACGCGAATCTCGACGAACAAATTAGCTTCTCGTGCGGATATTCCTCCTCAGTATCTGTTTGATGAAACTGGAGTCCAGACCAACGATACTCAACGGACAACACTTATGATTAAGAATATTCCTAATAAGTACAGGTAGACAGCATTTCTTTTCTTTTTCTGCTTTAAGTGTTGCCTTACTATGTCTTAGTTGCCGAAAACTTGGACCCTGTAAGTACTGATATACATCCTGGAGAAGTAGGGGCCGAGTACCTGTTGTAGGTCTCTGTTTTTACATTCGTCCCCTCGGTGTAATCTACGTCTAGGAACTTTCTAATTATTGTTCTTGTTTTTCCACTACCTGATGTAGCCAGCAGATGTTACTTTCGCTTCTGGATACACACTGCATTGAATGTAATAAGCGTCTGGAGGATCCGAATGAACCAATTTCTGCATACGATTTTGTTTATCTTCCCATTGACTTCAAGTAAGTCCCTGTTTCTCTAGATTGTCTGAATCTTGAAGTCTTGACATTGGTGTGTAGGATTGCCCCTATCACACATGATCAAGTTACCTTGATGAAGGTTTGGTATCTCATCTACTCGAGTTGGACTTACTTTTGATTTTTCTATGACAGGAATAGGTGTAATCTGGGATATGCATTTGTGAATTTCACTACTGTCCAAGCAACAATGAGACTGTATAGGGCTTTTCATCTTCAACAGTGGGAGGAGTTCAATTCGCGCAAAGTTTGTCATGTGACATATGCTAGAGTTCAGGCCTGTTTCCGTCTGCACATGCCTTTTCTATGCTGACATTCGTAGTGTGGATTTGGTCCCTTCATTAAACCTTTGCAAATTTATCATGCTTGGAATATTTGTCATGCTTTTCTAACGTCAGCAGCTGTATCCTCTATTGCAGGGACGAGCCGCTCTTGAGGAACATTTTAAGAATTCCCGATTCGCTTGCGACACGGACGACTACCTTCCACTCATGTTTCGACCCCCTCGGAATGGCGTGGACCCCGTCCAAACAATTACTGTAGCAGCTGTTCATCAATCTAGCCGTGTCGTGAGCAATACCTCTGTAGAGAACAGAGAGCATGGTAGGGGATCACGCAATGGAGAGAAAAATGATGAGAGAAGGGTAGTAGCAAAAGGTGTTAGTGGTCAGGAATTAGAAATGGATCATTTGCCGGGTGGGCAGTCCAGAGGAAGTTCGTCATCAGGTGGACATAAGCCAATTATGCTTCAGCAGCATTGGTAAGATATCTCTTGGGTGATGATTGGTCAAAGAGGCAGTTGTTTGGAGGTCGTTTCACAGGATGGCAGCGTGATTGCTGTGATAGTGTGCCGTGGCATCTTTAAGGATTTAGGAGTCATTTCGAGACGATGCCAGTCCAGGAATCGAAACCCTAGGCTGGTGTTAGTATACTTGACATTTAAGTGAAACTCTTTGCTCAAACATTAATAGTCCATTGATTTCGTGCCCGTGTACAGAGATGGTTTCGTGCTTATTATTGCAAACCATCAGTGATTCTGTTAATGTTTGACATGTCTTTCTAATGTGGCTTAATGTACCTACTCGGACTACAGTTTATGTAAACGTGATCACCATGAAGGTGACGTTGTTATTGTACAGTACTCTCGGTTAAACGCTCGTACGTCTAGTAGTTGCTGATATATAGTTTTAATTTTTCTTTCTTCATTTTGGTCTTGTGTCAACGCTGCGAGAATTTTTCATAACACATCTTACGAATGCTCGTCTTCTCATGATGACGTTTTAGCTGAGTGTAAATATCATCAACTTCGTAGGAAAATAATTGGGTGCGATCAATAGCAACATCTACAAATTTAACACATATTTACACATGTACACGCAAATTCCTATATGTATATATCGCCAGCAAATTGATAAATTAGTCAAAAGAAAAATTTCCACACTGTCGGACATTCGAAACCCACAATTTCTCCTACGACTGCTACCATTAAAACTTAACTAGTAATTACTTGCATCGTTAATTCACATTTCTCAAAAGAGGTCTGCCTGCCCTGCACCTTGACCTGATTCAATGATAGTGCGCACGCTTTCCACAGTCAGAACCATTAGCAAACATACAAACACCGATCTTACTTGCTGCCTAGAATGCTAAGAAATTAGATTTTGTAAGATAATGAAGGAAGAGAGAATGGCAGAGGCTTTCCAGGAAAAGAAACAAGATTCATCTTTAAACGTCATCCATGAATTCAACATGTTATCAAGGCTTCCAGCATATGTAAAAATAAGCATGTCCTGTTGAAAGGTAAGAAATACAAGCACTTGTAGAGTGGCATACACTAGGTTGATGGCGAAATAGAAGTTTGCATTACCTGTTCCCAGTACATGAGATATTATTTGAAGGGCAATCAGTTTACCCAAGTGTATACCTTGACATGTTACGGAATTTTCTGCGCCAATTAAGACATAAGAGAACCTGATTAAATTGTGGTGGATCTGTATGATTATTGTCACGGCATCTATAGGACCGAGCAAACAGTGAAGTGATACGTGAGCAAACATACCCAAGATATCCACAGTTTGTGCATGTTAGGGCTAAAGACACTGATCAAGATATATCCGTTCAACATGAGATTTAAGTACTGAAGATCCGAACAGAACAAAGAAATTCAAGCTGGTCTGTTATCAATAACATGATTTAGTTGTCTTGGATGTTGGGTATACACTGTAAATAGGAATAACCTTATCAAGGTATCTCACATACTGTGAAGAGTTCAATGCTTTGATACTAACTGTAAAATAATGGTGTGATTCAGAAAAACACAATGGTACAGTCCAGTAAGATTCAAACCTGGAATGTATAATATGACTCACCAGTTAATTCATGCGCACAAACCGCCATCAACCCTGTGTAGAGGGCTGCATCACCAACCTGCCAGAAAAACTCAAACAGTAAAAGTTGATGACCTGCTGAACGATCTCTTCATGAAAGCAGTCATCTAATTGACATGATTTTTTTTAATTTATATTATATGCTCAGCCTCATCATGGTCAGTTATCGAACTTATCATTTTCAGAGCACAAGAACACCAAAATCATGACGTACCGTGAGATATGACTTCACCAAAGAACAGATTGCAGTAAGGATAAATGAAAGAAAATTGGGTCGAAGTCGGAGTCGTATTGAGAGGGGCGGAATCATGAAAGCTGTGTTTTCGTGAAAGACTATGAGGAAAAAGGTCCGGAAATGTCGAATACTTCCGTAAAGAAATGCCTGCAAAACCAATTCCATGTTAGTCCTGCATTTCATTACAAAGGGTCATTAGCATTCCATTTATGAACAACAAATGGAAGTCTGTTATATCCACATGCTTCTGTAAACCTAATATTGAACATACTCGAAAGATGGAAACACATCATCAAAATGACAAACGTAATTGTTCAACGATAGTTAGCAAGCACATTCACTCCAGCCAGATGTGGATCCATACATAATTATGTTGCTATGGCCCATCCCAAACCTGATTGCGGCAGTTTTCCTGTTATCCACAAGACCAAAAGGATGAAATTTAATCATCTAATCCCTCACGCCTGAAACGGCCTCTGAAAAGCAACTAAAGCTGATTATCAGACACAGAATAGAATAAGCACTCTATGGATGACCAATAATGTGGAGCACAGTAGTGCAAAAAGTGCTCAAAATTCAGATCAGTGAAAAGAAACTTCAGACCTGCTGCAGCCCCGTGCAAGCATGAACTTTTAGAATGTTCTCGATCAAATGCGTTAAGCCTTACACAAACAGCAATAGTGAATGAATCAAGTAACCAAGAAGGAAATATCTCCAGCTCCAAGCACATCTGCAGTTGCAACTGCTAGGTAGGAGTAAGCACCTCTCATCAAAATTGACGAACACGAAGTAAAGTACAGCCTATTGAGTGCCAGTATCGTTAACAATCTCAACTGCAAACATTCGCCAAGAAATGGCCCTTCCAGCCCTTTCATTTCCAAGGAATACTTTCAACCACCTCATTCAAAACCATCACAAGAAGCAAACCATAAGAACGAGAACCACAGAAATGAGATGCAAGTACCGACAATGATAAAGGATGATGTTTACCATTTGGTTTAACATACAGGCTGGGCATATACAAAGCAAACAAGTATTATTTAGTAAAACAGAAGCTTCAACTATGCATCTTTTGCATCAGATTTTTCCCTGAGCTAATTTGTAAGACAAAGCATTTTGAAATGTAGCGAATGAGCATGCTCTAAAACCTTTCCAACTATAAACTAGAGGGTGCTTATGAGATCTGAAACAACCAACAATGAACAGGTGCACCCACACATTGTTCGAATACACTGTATTGTTGTCAAAAGCTCAGTGCAGAATATCCACAGGCAAATAGCTCTTCTTTGAACAGTATTAGCAACTGTTTCTCAAATAAACATAAGCTAACATATCAAGTCTTTGCACAACAAGGCATCGATGGCACATGCTGCAACTACTTTAGTTTCGAAAAACTGGAAGTGAGTCGATAAGAAACAACTCGACATTCGGGAAAAGTGAGCTGGAAGAACATTTTTCAGATGCGATGGAAAAGGAAAAATATAGAAGCTGAGAAAAATAACACAGATACAACAATGCCAGACAGTAGACTTGCCTACGCAGAGGATAACCAATGCATGTTTCTAGGCTGCAACTGGAACAAAATAAGCCGTCAATATTAGCAAACAAATTCGACTCTTTGTCAAGGAATTCTCTTACCAATAAAAAGTAGCTTACTCTGCCGAGAGATATATACAATAATTTAACTCGCTGTGGGCTAAAGGTACATTCCGCACTCTCTAACCACTAACCACGAGGGTTTTGTGTTGAGGGCTGTACCTATCACCAATCACAGGACCAATCGATGAGGGAAACAACGGTGCAGCATGGTATGCAGATCCCGCAAATATAACGAATATGCTGCCATGAGGCACGTTCCAGGTTTCCATCTGCATCAATGAAAGCAGAGCAATCAAGCAGGTAATCCCACATAAATGTGTTAAATTGGTACATTTGAAGTCCAGACCTCCAGCTACTTTACACTCATTGAAGGGAGGCTATGAGAGCACTTACTTTATTATGATGGTCACCTTCTAACATAATGAAAATGGACAAAGGATGCTGACTTGCATTAGGTGACATGCCATATTCATTGAGCCTATGGTCTTCTGCCCCTGCTAGAGCAAACAAACGCGTGTTGTCGAGAAAAATATTAAGAAAAAGCCCATCGAAATCAAGCAGCTTGAGATACTGTTATTGAATCATTTGCGTCTTTTTGAAATAACTTATCACCAGGAATCATTTACTTCGGAGTAAAATCCTGCTGCACAAAGTGCTTATAACCAAGGTGATCCACAAAAACTCGATGTTGTTTTCTGATTCACACAAATCTATACAGAATACACATAACGAGCAGCTATTACAAGCTCGCATTTCCACACGCAACTTTCTCAAATAAATACAAGTTACAAGGAGCGCAAATCTAGTCACAGAAGGGACATCCACAAACAAAACCACATGAAGTTCCTCGAATCATCTAGGTGTCACTGTCATTTTGCGTAACGTGAAAGTCATCTACTACTTCCAACACATGTGCGGCGATTCACTTGCCATTCTGCTACCATACAGAGAGAAGATAATTAGGGTTTTCTTCCTGGTCCATTAAAGTTGACGCTTCTGTATCCGGTAACCATGAATTCTCAACATCTTGTCTAATGTCATGCTCATCTAAGACATGAAATATTGCATAAATGATACCCATCCTCTATAGCTTAACATCTCCCAACAATCCATGCCCAACTCGATGGCGCAGAGCAGAAATGCTTACAGCGAGAGAGGATGGAGACTGGGATCACAACCTCCACTCAACAATCCAGCAATGATACGGATCCCATGGCCGCCAACAGCCATCGGACGCTTATCCCTCAGTGTCTCACCTCTCTATGCTACCCACCATTTCGCCATCATCACAACTGTTGTGCACCTCTGGGTCGATTCCATACGCCATCCTCTTTAAAACTCATTCTTGCAAAGACCTTGCTACAAAATACCGCATGCTCCCCATCACCCGAAAGCTCACTGCAGGCCATCTTCACTTAAACTCGCTGCATTGCAATTCCCACCATCTTGACACTTTCAATGCATCAAAGCTTCGTCCCAAATTGTGATGAATTTCAAAGCCACATATCTCAACATTTTCTCTAAACTCATGTGCGTAGCTACTCGGAGTAAGAAGTGGCCACAACTCATCTGCAAGCATGTTCATCCATTATCTACCGGGAGCATGAATTCATACCTGGTGCTCACTGGTTTTCAGCATCGTGGGAAGGCTTCTCACTGTTAACACGGTGAAATGATGCCATTTCTGATTCGTCATCAATGAATCCATCGCAACAATTTGCGCATGAGGAGGTGCTTGTGAATTGTTTTAGGATTTAGATTTGCATGTGAGTGAAGGTGTACTACATGCAGCAAATTAAGCTACAATTTAACTTCCAGGCCACAGATTTTGAGAATTACCAACTCACAGAACGGAACGGTTTTCACATATATCAGACTAGTGATGATGAGATTTTGAGATGCCTGTAGCTACACGCTGCTCCACTTCTGTTGCAGGAATGAATAGGGAAGAGGGCGAATTGAATTGGGGGCGTACGGAGCTTGGGCTTTAATTGCAGGTGTAATCAGCACTATCGCTATGGTTTATGCTGCTGCCGATGTCGTTCACTGAGGTGGGTACTGCTAATATGTGGACTAAACTCACTAACAATTATGCTGCGTTCATTTACTCATTGTGTTGCGTTTATATTTCGGATCTGATGCACGCTCATTGATGTTGTGATGATTAGAGGAATTGCTTCAACATCTGAACTTTGTAGTAGAAGGTATGTTTGTTTAAAAGAAGAAGTGCTGACACTCTCTCTTGTACAGACAAGCAATTTAACATCTTTCCAATTTTTCTTTGTGTAGGAGTTTGATGTATTTTTCGTTAGAGAAGCATGAATTATTTTTTTGCGAGATAGCGAGGTGTAAAAAGAACTCTTTCAATACCCTATTTTGATTGAATAACATCGGTGCTGCGAATAGTAGCGCATGTGAATGCTATCTAACCTTGTAGAAAAAGAAAACGTCCTCGTACAGAATGTTACTTGGAGCAGGTTTTCAGTGCGGAGTAGTCACTTTTATCGTGCTAATCAGATGCATGATGAGGTCTCTCTAGTAGGTGAAAACAGATTTTCAGATTCAGTGATGTTTATAAAGCAGGGCAAAGCGGCTAGATATTCTCTGTAAGCATATCATATTGATGCTTGCCGACGACGTAGCCTGCAACGCTTGAGATGCGTGCCCAGCCCAAGTGTACAATAATGACAACCATCGATTCAACCTTTATGATAACCATATTTAGGTGCGAACACGCTTACGTGTTTTGAGGTGTGTGTACTAAATTTTAGATCATTATTACGTTCAGTTCTCATGATAACTTTATGGTCCTAATGATGACTTGGATTCGCTATGAGTGTTTTTCAATTCTGAATTTCACCCTCATGTAAGAAATGCATAATTTTGTGCAACTGTGATTAGTAGGCTGCTTTAGTATTGGGTATGTTGATAAGTTGCTGAATACGTAGATTTCTCAACTTCATGAACTGCAGGTTGATCACAAGGGCCATGAAGTAAACGCGAAATACTTCTGCGTGTTTGTACCAGTCGCCACGATGATACTATGGCGAGGTCCAAATGGTTGCTCAGTGGCGAAGGTAGTAAGACCTCTACATGAGAGGTTGCAGTGGTGATATGTTTCTGTCGTTTCAGGACTATGAAGAGATCCGCATTTGTGATCTTACTAGTGCATTTGCTCAAATGCATGAGAGGTCATGTACAGATGTTAGATTATTAATATGGTCTCATTCGTAAACCCTTAGGGATGTGGATTGCACGTGCTTTATAGAAGTTTAACAACTTGTTGATAGCACTGGATTTCAGTCTCAAAATAGTACTCTCTATCATTTACGTTATCAAATGTCAAGATTACAAGTTGCTCAGTTTCGTCTTCATTCTCTGACTATACGATAGAATAATTTGAAGAGCAATGTGCACTGAGTTGTTTGTATCAGGCTTCGTTACACGCTCTACTGTCTTTTAGTAGGTGGTAATCACGCCTCCATGTTCATACAATACAACAGCACTGACTTGCTGTTGTACGTGGTGTAATATTGTAGTAGTGCTTCACCTGCATAAGAAGTTAAGGTCACAATGCAAATTGGGCTGCTTCTGCCTTACTCATGCTACAGATTGTCATGACTAACAAGGTTTTTGCAGCAACAAGGAATTATTAGTGATGGTTGATGTGTGCCAAGCAGCTAATCTGCACTCCCAGTCACTTATTTTTCTAATTCTAGATCCCTGTATAGATGGATGGTTATTGCAGTGCGCATTTAACACATGCTCACAGCCGTATATATATATGTGAAGAACACAAAAACTTGGAGTACATTAATATGTGGCTATCATTCCTGTAAGTGTCGTAGTCACTTAATCGATATATTCTCATGAAATAATTCACCTCTTTACGTTGTTGGTCCTTTTCTGCAGCTTTATGGCCCAAGATTCGTGCCGTGGGGAGCAGTTTGAAGGAAGAGAGCTCCTGTTCTCACTACTTAAATGCACATGTACGTACCCAACTGGATTTGGAAACCCTCTCGGTTTTCTTTTACTGCTGTTTTAGTCATCACGCACCTGATAATACTTTGAAGAGAAGTTGGAAGTGATTTGTTATTCTGTATTACCCATGGTCCATAATTTCTACTTTAGCATCGTCAATGAGCTGAGTGCATGATTGATATTTAGGAATGTGGAGTGCATCCTTTAGTAAACTACAGATGCTTAGGATCGCAGATGAGCGTTATGATGGTTGGTGGTTGGGTATGGGATGTGGGAGTTCCAGTAGTGGATCGATTCACTTACTACGTTTTGCAGTTCTTTGAAGAACAACTGCTCCGTTGGCTTCGTATGGAATATTCTAAATTATGCACTTTGATATTCTACAGAGAAACTATCTTCATTCCTCCCAAAACTGTTGAAATGCCTCGCGTACTATTATTGGTGGAGATTTGCCGATGCAAGGTTTTCACCCTTCTCAGTTGCAAACCCTCCAGAGCATGACTTAAAATATGCAGGGAACCACCTTGATTAAACTCTTGAATGATTCATTGATAATGTTATCTGTTCAGGCTATGGAGGGTGAAGAAGGCTTTAAATGCGTCGAATGTGAGGAATGGCCTCATGCAAGGTGACAAGAAGAACACTCGTCTTCGTGGATTTGCTTGCCGCAGCAGGCAAAGTATCATCCATTACCTACCCTGGCTTATGAAGCTTTCTTTGGTTCGTGCTTGTCGGAAGACGTTTTGGTCCACAGATGAGCATGCACAGTTAATCTCTCTTCACGCAGATCAGGTGTCATTTAGTTTGACAATTGAGTCACAATCACCCAGGTAGGTATTGAGCAAGGTGTAACTCAGGAACTGCTGGAAATTGACACTCAATACAGATAGCTGTGCTGAATGGTTTCAGTTCAGTTGGAGCTTCATTGCTTGCAGAAGTTACACTTGGTTTAAAACTATGTTCTTTGTATTTAGACGATGTGCAATGCATGAATTTGCAAAGAGTTTAATTGCCCTCGTACAGTCGGGTTCTCACTATGAAGCGTAGCATTTCCAACATTTGTATCATGGTGGCTACGAAATTGGTTCAAAAAGATGAGTGTGCCGTCCTGAGACATTTTGAATTCATTGCATTCTATAGTTTCCTTGTTCAGCCTAAACCATGAAGGCCATATTGGCCACTCCGCCCAGAGCTCTGGGATTTAACCAGGCAACTGTGATGAGTGTGGCGTCCAAATTGGCTTGGAATATGGTTACACCAAGCAAAGTATAACAAGTTCGGATGTGGTAGAACAATTCTTACAGTTTGGTCATGACTTCCTCGATTGTTGCTGCTAATATTGTATGACATGAAAGCAGGTGCTTGAGCAATATGATATGCGGCTTGCGTATCTGAGACATGCTCACAACGTTCAGATTGATTCTGCATGTCTGCCTTTGTTTTACCTTCAGTGCTTGATTCTCATATTCAGTCAAGAAGCAATTGAAATTTTATCATGGTGAACAAAGAATGCTTCATCCGATACATAGTTTACCATGTATCGTGCACAACCAGTTTGTTATAAAAATTTCTGAGAGTTCATTGTGCCAACACTCCTCATCAAACTTTTGGATAAGGTCAGGTTCAGTTCTATAGCTGAAAGATCACATCACTTCTTCGGAAGTTGCCTTCGGGGAAACATACTACTACTATACATCATAAATTAGTGTTTTCATGCTCTAGTTTGTTGAATATAATGGATAGACGCCCCATCAGCTGGACACTACTAGAACATGAACACAGATATCGTAGATGTTATAATCATAGATAAGTTATCATCAAGACATAGTTCTAGACACTTATCGATACATCAAATGGATATCCATTGGACTGGAGTAACTTATTTTGTATAAGAACAATGCGTGCAATGAAATCCACAGTTCACTTTTCTTAGCACATGTAGTAGTGTCACTGTTGATTCTTGGGTAATTCTTTGCTCTTGTTATTCTTTGTGTTTTCACTATGATCTATAATGGCTCATAGGCACAAGAGACTGATTTGTAGTTTATGTTATCAAGTATTGAGGATTGATAGAATGCAATTCAATATGGTATTAGAGCGAGCGATATAAAAGAGAGAGAACCAGTATTTTGAGAGAAAGTACTGGGATCGATGGATTCTGTTATCGCACCTTTGAAAATGCTTGTATGTCCAGTTAAGTACAAGATGTGGAGTAGTACCATACAGAGCATGTTTGAGAAGTAACATTGAGTGAAGCCAACAAGATTGTTTCAGAGATAGCCTTAATACCGCATGAGAAGGAAATTCTCCGCAAACAACGAATAAGGGCAATGGGCTTTCTTCGCCTCTTATTGATAAAAGTAGTAAAGCTCTACGTCTTGAATACCTTTGATCCTGCAGTTGCTTGGAAAATCTTTGCAAATGTATATTCTACAAAAATAATTGCAGATGTGATGAAAATTCTGGACAAGTGGGAAAATCTCAAGATGACTGAAGATATGTGAGTATCTATTTTTATGCAGCATGTATATGATTTACTGAATGATCTGAAAGAGATCAATGAACTGCCAACAGACACTGTTATATACAAGATTCTCAAAAACTTGCTAGAGAAATATGAAACATTTGTGAGAATGTTGCGAGTAGAAAAGGTAACATCTTCACTCTCAAGTCCAGCTAGTAGATTGCACATGGAAGAACTAGAAATGAAGTTAAAGTCAGGTTTAAATGAAGAAGCTCTCATGCTCAGAACAAGAAACAATCCACAAAGGACATTCACAGGGTTCAGAAATTCAAATTACTCAAGCACAACTTTTGGGGTAGACCATCACAATTTCGATCAAATGCTGGAGAACGTAGAGAACACTCTATCACAACAATGTGTCATTGGTGTGGCAAATTGGGACACATTGTCGTGCACAAGAACCAATGAGCTCGAATTTGTATCAATTTAAAGCCAACCATATATCGGAAGAGAGATTTCTTATCCCTAGTAAGATTCGGAATGCATTACAAATTCCATTTGTTTCATTGTAAGAGAAAGAATGGATAATAGACAGCAGAGCTTCTTAACTCTTCTTGGGAGACTATGGAGTTTTCACGCATTTGGAAAATTTGTCGGAACAGCACATAGTGGCAACAGTAGATGGTAGGGCACACTTTATGAAAGACAAATGAGATGTAAGCTTTTTGGAAACAAATGACAAAATAAAGCTGAAAAATATTTTCTATGTTTCTAGCTTAACACAGAATCTATTGTTGGTTGGTTAGTTTGTGCACAATAATGATCAACTGTTGATATTTGGGAAGGAACGATGTATTGTTATCGCAAATTCTCACTTCCAAAACATATATGCATTGGAGCATTGGAATGCAAAGTCCCGCCTCTATAAATTGAGTATTTATGGCAGGATTGGTCCATCCCAAAATACATTACAGTCGACGGATCTTACTGACATCTCAAAGATATGGAACTCGTCGACCTCGGTAAATGGAAATAGAAAACCAAAATTGAATATAGGTAGCAGAATTCATCACAGCCACAAACTCTGAGGTATCAACAGTTTTTGGATGCGCTAACAACACGGCCGCCATCCTCTTTTAAACCAATATGCCTGCAAATTCCGCCATTCATAAGAAATTAAGAAAATTTTACACTGGCATACAATATATCCCACCATTATAAGAATAATATATAATATAAGAATACTATACCAGTATAAGACCAATATAAGAATAGTATTCAATGCAAGACATATATACTTATATAAGATTAATAGAAGACTAGAATATTATATACTCTACTAGTACAAGACAGAACTGTAATTCGGTATAATACACTGGAACACGACAAGACTGGAGTACAATGTAAATTTCTATTGTTGATAAAAATTTTTGACATGTCTTACAAAATATTTCCTTCTTCTTGTTGATGACTACTCAAAAAAATCATGGATTTATTTTCTTAAGGAAAAAGGACAAATATTTGATAAGTTTATAGAATTCAAGGAAATGATAGAAAAAAAAAACAGAAAAACTTATAGAAAGATTAGGAACTGATGATGGAGGAGAATTAACTACACACAACTTTTCAAATTTTTGTACAAGGAATGGAATTATTCAACAACTCACACAACCATACACATCCTAGCAAAATATAGTGGAAAGAAAAAATAGATCTATGTTAGCAAAATGGAGTAGTAGAAAGAAGAAATAGATCAATGTTAGACAAAAGAAGATGTATGTTATTATCTAAAAAATTACCAACCTACATATGGCCTAAAGCAGCAATGACGACCATTTATATAATAAATAGGCTATTCACACAAGTAGACAACTTCAATATAAGAAGCATTCTTAGGAGTTAAACCAAAATTACATCACTTAAAAACCTTTAGATGCTTATTACATGTACACATAGGACATCAATCAAGAAATAAATTACAATCACAATCCATTATTGGCACATTTGTAGGCTACAATGAACACTCTAAGGAATATGAAATATATTTGCATCACCTTGAGAAAATTATAGTCTCTAGAAATGTAATATTTGAAAAAACCAAACTTATAGATTACAACAAACTTCAAGATGAAAATCTTGCAAACAAGAATATGGACAATATGACGATAAATACCTCAAACAAAAGTATCTCAAACTCATACTTAGTTATAAGAAGCAAAAGTACAAAAACTCTCATGAGAAGGCAAATCAAACTTAGAAAGATCTCAAACTCAAAATATTTTGGCTCTTCAAGAAAATATAAAAATCAGTCATTTGATAGATCCTTGTTATGACATATATGATTCTTTAAAAAAAGATTTAATTTCTAAATTATAATCATAAAATATTAAAAATAATATAGCTATTTTTAGCTATATTTAAGATTTTGAAATAGATAAATGATCTAATATTGAAACCAACAATTATATCTCTTTTGTTAAAAACATGTACCTTCCAAAATTGAAAAATAGTACAACTTAGCCATTATCAATTGTTACGTAAAGTGGCATATAAACAATAATACTTTGGTGGATGAAAGATCATTTTACAAGACTCATGACACTATGAAATCTAGAACCATCAACATAGTATAAGAGATAGATGGAAGCTATGTAGGACAAGATGAAATCCATACATAAAAATGAAACTTGGTATCTTACAAATCTTCTCTACAAAAAATCCACTATATTTATTAAATAGATTTTCAAGGCTAAACTGAACATTGATTGATCATTACAAAAATATAAAGCTAGATTTGTGGCACGAGGTTTTGAATATAAAGGGAAGGTATAGATTATGAAGAAATATTTGTAGTGGTTGTAAAATGAGCAATTGTTAGGGCAATGATATCCATTGCTCCTCAAAAGAATTGGAAATTAAGTCATATGGACATGAAAACAACATTTCTTTATGGAGATTTGAAAGAAGAGGTTTAAGTTACCCAACCACAAGGTTTTGAGATACTTTGTAAAGAACAAATAGTTTGCAAGTTACAAAAGTTATTATATGGTTTAAAATAAGCACCAAAAGCATGTTATGAAAAAATAGACTTATACTTACAAGAAATGGGCTTTCAATAAGACATAAGCAAGCATAACCTATATTCAAAATTATTGGAAGATAAGATTATTCTAATTGTAATATATATATTGACAATCTTCTAATGATTGGAAACTATATAAAAAATATGAACAACTTCAAAAGAAATTAGATGGTCACTTTGAAATGTTTATATTATCAAGAGGAGAAGTCATTCTTTATTTGAAAGTAGAATGCATAAATATTAAGGAAGGAATATTCATGATATAATAGGCCAATGCACAACATATCTTAGTAACTTTTGGTATGAAAAATTGCATGCTAGCAACAACAACCATGGATGAGAAAATTAAATTCAAAATCAATATGAG